AACGTTCGTTCGTTATAGCGTTTGTTTTAGCGTGATTGTTGAAATTAAGTGTATCGTAAAGTTGTATTCGGAAAGAATAAACCAGTTTTATTTAAGAAAGGACTTGTGTCGCTAAAGTTTCGTCGGAACGAAGTTACGGGAAAGTTAATTAACAAACAGAGACGTAACACTGCCATCAAATCTGCTAATCTGTACTTTGATTTGACGCTTCTCGTTTCCATTTTTTTCATCCCACTTCTGACACCAATTTGTTACGCCTCCGTTCGTTAGTTAATTTTCTGTATAATTTCTTTCCGAAGAAACTTTAGCGATACAAGTCTTTACTTAATAAAACTGGTTTATTCTTTCCGAATATAACTTTACGATACACTTAATTTCAACAATCACGCTAAAACAAACGCTATAACGAACGAACGTCTCACGTGCTTGACTCAACAATAGGTCTCTCTCTGTCCGCAGTTCAGTTATACATTGTTGCCGTCAGTTCTTGGCGGCTTATATATACAAGACTACCGCATATCTAGTAGCCTCTCGAGACTTCAGGAAGGGACAGGATCCTTCTAGAAATTCATGACGTGTTACTAGCGTCACGTGACCCCAGCTGTCGTAACAATACACTTTATTATTATTAAGAAGCTACCTCAGTGATAAAATTGCGAGTTTATACGTCATAAATTGTGACTCGATACTCGAGTGTTACACAGCACAAATAGTCCATCGTGTAGCTTTGCATTTGAACACAAACGAATTATTATGGATTTCTGGTCAAAGGTAATTTTACTGTGCATGGTCCTACAATGCTCCAACTGACTCAGCAGTAAGCTCAAAGTCAGATAATGTTAAAATCGAAGGTTTGATACCTTTGCCGGGCATATCGTGTGTTACCTGGACGTACTATATTTTAGCTTAAAGTGAGTGTCCCCAAGGGGTCAGCGGCAAGTCGAAGGAATTAAAATACAAAAATCTAGGATTTGATTCCCTGTGGTAAACAGATCACAGATAGTTCAGTATGTAGCTTTGCGCTACAAATGCAACAATAATACCATTAGATAGTTAATCTGTTTAAGTTACCAAAATTTTCAAAATTGTTGAAATATTGTTACGTTTGAGCACTTGTAGACTTCCACATATAGGGAATCCGCCGTATTCTGTGTGCTAGTTATTTATAGTCAAGGCGAGTGATCAAATAACATGTTTTTACACGTTTCTAACGAACAACGCCCGAATTTACACTTGAGACAGCCATTTACGTTGGTGACGCTTGTGCTCTGAGAGAGACGAGGTTATTTCTCCTGTATACATATAATGCTTTACTCTCTCAATATAGCACTGGATCTTTCCAAAATATTTACATGGTTTCCAGGGGATCTTTAGAAATATCTAGAAGTGCCACCCGATATCCCATATATATATATTGTTACGACTTCGAGGTCACGTGACTAGTATCACGCCACGTCATTCTCGAACATTCACGTCTTTTCCTTAAACCTCGTGATTCTTCTAGATATAGTGTAGTCTTGTATATATAAGACCGGCCACGAAGCGACGGAGGTAATGAGTAATTGAATGTATGCGGACAGAATATTGTTGGCCACGTGAGACGTGAGTTATAGCGTTGTTATATAGCGACTGTTGAAATAAAGTGTATCGTAAGTTGTATTCGAAAAGAATAAACCAGTTTTATTTAAGAAAGGACTTGTGTCGCTAAAGTTTCGTCGGAACGAATTTACGGAAAAATTAACGAACGAACGGAGACGTAACAATATATATATATTCTGCTGTTTTGACTTTGTAGTTGTAAATAAAGATTGATTTTTTCAACATTGTGTTCGATCTATCTTCTGAAACTCAGTCATTTCAAATTTTCAGTTTTAATTCCGTAAATCATTTCATATTTCAACCTTTAATTATACATAGTACTTCTGTTGCCTGTGAGGTAATCAATAAACTACAAGTGCAAATAGACCATTGTGTAACTATACTGTTAAAAACAAACAACATATCAGAGTATATGTATAAGCAATATACAAATTGTCGAAACAATCCCGTGATCATTACATGTTGTTGCGTCTCCGTTTGTTAATTAACTTCCCGTAACTTCGTTCCGACGAAACTTTAACGACACAAGTCCTTACTTAATAAAACTGGTTTATTCTTTCCGAATATAACTTTACGATACACTTGTTTTCAACAATCGCGCTAAAACAAACGCTATATCAACGAACGTTAACTTCAACAATACGTCTCTCTCTGACTGCAGTTCAATTGCTCATTACCTACGCACACATTACATTATTTTCCCGTCACGTTGTCACCCTCTTTTATATACCAGACTACCCTATATCTAGTAAATACTAGAGCATTCGCCAAGGTACAGGATAGTTCTAGAAAATAGGTGGCGCCACACCAGTCACGTGACCTCGATGACGCAACAATATTATATTCTATTGAATATTTTACAATTTGTTTACATATCTACAAGGATTTATTTTATGTAGATTATTCGTGGACAATAAAAATAAATCTTTGTTATTTAGTGATTTGTGTTCGACATTTCAACAACTCAATCAAAAATATATTTTTAATGATAACATTATTTTGAGGAGTAACAAGTCTTAAACAAATTTGAGTCATATAACAAATGGAACAACTAAATGTAATTATTGAAAAACATGAGCTTAGATTTCTTACATTGTATGAAAAATCTTATCTGCAAAAAGAGTTAGTAAATAATAAGAGTATAACTGAGCATTGCTTTATTTTTTGTTAATTAAAGTATTTGTTACGTCTCCGTTTGTTAATTAATTTTCCGTAACTTCGTTCGGACGAAACTTTAGCGACACAAGTCCTTACTTAATAAAACTGGTTTATTCTTTCCGAATATAACTTTACGATACACTTAATTTTAACAATCACGCTAAAACAAACGCTATAACGAACGAACGTGACTGCAGATCAATTACTCA